CCATTTGGCTGGGTTTCCCCAGCCACTCTGGGCGGCTTCCAACCAAATATTAAAAACAATACAGTGTCAGACATTAAAAACTTCCCTAAACAGGGCTGCCTTCAGTTGTCTTTTAAAAGCAAAACATATTTTTCGCTCCATAAGATGCACCTGACCATAAGACGCAGGCAGTTTTTAGAGGGGGAATGCAAGAAAAAAAAATATTTTTAAAGGGAGCGCTGAGCAGAGCCTGTATGCATCCAAGGCTCTGCTCAGCGCTCCCTTTCACGAGCCACGTGGAGTGTGTGTGCGGCGCTTGCAGGTTTTTCCCCAGGAGGGAGAAGGGCAGCCCGTCACTTCCCCCACCTCCCGCAGAAGCCAGCAAGAGCCGCATGCTCTTTAAAGGGTGTGTGGCTCTTGGGGGCTTTTCCCCAAGGAGGGAGAAGGGACTGACTTGGGGGCTTTTCCTGCCTGCCTCCCGCCTGCATTCGCTCCATAAGATGCACACACATTTCCCCTTACTTTTTAGGAGGGAAAAACTGCATCTTATGGAGTGAAAAATACTGTAGTTGTTTATTGCCTTGACATCTGCTGGGAGGGCGTTCCACAGGGCAGGCGCCATTACAGAGAAGCCCCTCTGCCTGGTTCCCTGTAACCTCACTTCTTGCAGCGAGGGAATCACCAGAAGGCCCTCAGAGCTGGACCTCAGTGTCCTGGCTGGATGATGGGGGTGGAGACGCTCCTTTGGGTATACAGGACCGAGGCCATTTAGGGCTTTAAAGGTCAGCACCAACACTTTGAATTGTGCTCAGAAATGTACTGGGAGCCAGCAATGCCTATGCTGGCTGGAATCCAATAACATGGAGGTCTCCATCCCTGCTGTAACATCTGTTTTGTAGTTGAAGTGTACTGGGTGTTCTCATCCATTAGATATTAAACCTTTCCAGATGTCTCATGGTCGGTTCACTAGAACACTGGGCAGGTGGCAGGATTGTGTGTGTAAGTGAAGAAGGTTTGTCTATGGCAAACAGGTTTCATGACATAGCTCAGTTGACTTTGGTCATTTGCTAGGGGACTATCCAATCTTCCCATAAGAGAACTGTACAATTGCATCACTTGACCATGGTAGGATCTTCACATGACCTGCTCAGCACACACAGAATGCAGTCTTACCCAGAAAGAGATACCCAAGGAGATATCCATTTGTTTAAGAATGCCCCTCCCTTCCCTTTGAAACCCATCTCTCAGAGCTGAGTCTCATTTAAATGTCGTACTTGAGACTGGAAGCCCAAGTATGTGTGCCTCATCAAAAAAAATGAAGGATGCATGCATAACTCTTTCCCCCCCCTCCTCCTTTTTGGTAGCATTTCTCTTTAAAATGCACACAAATGGCCAGAGATCAGCCGAAAGACCACTGGCACATTTTTAAACCGCACATGTGCACCCTCCTTACTTGACATGCACTTTGTACTCACATATGGACACCCAAGTTCAAACCATCAGATGAGACTTAGCCCTTAGCAACTGCTGAAGTCTTTGAAAGGTTGGGGAAAGACTCCTTATTCGTGTGTGGGGCTGGAAACCCACTTTAATGTAAACAATATGAATTAAGTTTAATTTGTTTTTACAAAGCTGGTGTATTTGGATGACAATGCACTTATAAGAGGAATATACTTCTTGGACTAGTAGGATTTATCTTGGCCTTCCACAATCTGGTGCTGTTTTGGCCCACAACTCCCATCAGCCCCAGCCAGCATAGCTAAGTTGATTGGGACAGATGCAAGTCGCTGGGCTAAAAGCTCCAGAGGGCACCAGGTTGAGGAAGGCTGATTGTAAAGTATAGCCATCTACATAACTGGCCTGGTCAGGACCCGATGATGTGAAATGTGGCTAATCCTAGATTGTCTTTGTTGCATTTTGGTTCCATTGTAACTCTTAAAACGGCTGTCCCATTCTACAGTACAGCAGGGGCAACAATATTTCATGTTATCAATAGATCACAATAAATGTGATTCTCTTTTGGAAAAAAAATAATGGTTACGGTGGTTTTTTTCATGTTTTGTCAGTTAATGTGGGTGTGTTGATAATACTAACTTCATAGTTACTCCTGTCATTTTTTTTTAAAGGATAAGAATAACTGAAATGTATCTTAGAACTTTTGCAAAGCGTCTGAAGTTCAACAGGGAAGGGGTCTGTCTAACCTCAGGAGGGAGGAAGTTCTGCAACACAGCACTGAACTGCATGGCTTCTGGTCATGTGCTGACTGGGGCTGATGGGAATTGGGGCCCAAAACATCTGAAGGGCACCAGGTCAGTGGAGTTTGATCTGGATGATAAAACAGTAAGATGGTCTCATGCCCAAAAGAGTGACATATGGCTGGATGCTTTTCGAAAGCTGAGTTACCATCCCTTCCTAAGCCCAATCACAACTTGTGTTGGGCTAATCAGGACCACCAGCGTTGCCCTGGTGTTTCCAAGTCACTAACCTGGCCTGGAAAAGGATGCTTTTCTAAGCCAAAAGGGAAGCCTCCCTTAAAACACAAAGTGCTCTTTGTTTGACATCCACATTAGTAATTCAATGGACTTACAGAAAGGATTTGTATTCCAAAATGGCAGATCAAGGAAAGGGAGACATTGAACCAAGGCCACTATGAGAACATGGATGCCATTTTGCAATCTGCATTTATTTATTTTTATTTTTAAAAAGTCCTCATGAAATCTCATCTGTGAATTTCTCCTAGTATATGCATCTTTCTAATACAATTTCACATAATATATCAAAGTAATTCCTCCTAATATAATGCATTTCATGCTATTTTAACCAATATATGCACGCTTATGCACTCTTTACCCCAGTATATGCATTCTGTGTACCACTGTGAGATCTTATGTTGAAGGGTGGTATATAAATTTAATAAATAAAATAAAATATATATTTTTTCCTTGGCTGGAGATCCACAATACAAAATTCAGAGAAATGTGGATTTCAAAAAGTGTCTGTATTTCTGTTCACCTATTGCTTTGGAAATCAGGTAGGTCAGCCTGTAAATGCAAACAGAGTCAGATTTTTCCCTTGTCCTTAGCCCTGGCCCAGTGTTTCAGAAACATGGCTGTAAAACAGAAACAGCCTGGTTAGTTGGGGTATCAAAATGCAATTTCCTTCAAAATTAATTTGTGGAGCAACTCATCCAGTGGGCCACTGTGAGAACAGGATGCTGATCCAGGAGGACTCACCTGACGTCTTTAACAACAAAGGACAGCCATGGTTTGTTTTCTTGGCTTCACTGTTCCATGCAGGCACTTGGTTTCTGCATTGCTCTGTCGCCACATTGAATTTATTGCCTTGAATGCTATTAAAACTATTATGTTATGGGTGCAATATCTAATGCCCGGCACGCAGAACTTATCAATATCATCATTCTGTGTTACAGAAGGGACAATTTTATATGGGAATGAATAGTGTTTTATGAGACTGTCATTACACCTAACCGAGTGGCAATGTGCTCTGATCGATAATAGAAGCCAGATTTATGTCTTTGACCCTCTGTTTTATTACTGACTGTGGGGGATGAAGTTCAGCAAGGCATTGTTTGTCCATCCTATTAATTATAATGCTCTGGCTCTGAGCTGTTTTCAAATCCAGATTGTCATGAATTTCATTGTGCAGGATGCATTCAGAATGCATCAAATATAAGATTGGTGACACCTGGGTTGCCAGTAGTACATGTGAAAAGGACCTAGGGGCAGGGCTTTCCCCCCCAGCCAGAACTCAGTTCTGGCGCCTCTCTGGTGGGTGCCATTGTCATTATGAGAGAACAAGGGAAGCATTTATTGTGAGTTTTGGCACCTCTATTTCTTGAAAAAATAGCACTGTCTAGGGGGCTTAGTAAACCACAAGCTTAACATGAGTCAATAGTGTGATGTAGCAGCAAAAAAGTAAATGCTATTCTAAGCAGAAGTATAGTGTCAAGATCAAGGGAAGTCATAGTACCACTCTATTCTGGTTAGACCCCACCTGGAGTATTGTGTCAAGTTTGGGGCGCCAGAGTTTAAGAAGGATGTTGACAAGCTGGAACGTGTGCAGAGGAGGGTGACCAAGATTATCAAGGGTCTGGAAACCAAGATTTATGAGGAACAGTTGAGGGAGTCGGGTATGTTTTGCCTGGAAAAGAGGAGACAGAGAGGAGATATGATAGCCATATTCAAATATCTAAATGGCTGTCACATGGAAGAACTGCTAGGACAGAGGACTGCTGGAGTGCCTTCTTGTATGATGGTGTGAATTCATTGTAAGAACACCAGGCACTGAGAATTCCTCATAATTCCTGATGGTCTGGAGCAGGCAACTTCAGTCCAGTAATCATTGTGAGCTGCTGGGGAGCACTGAGTACTTTGAGAATATCAAAAGGACTTCTTTGCAGAGCGCATAGATACTTTGAGAATATCAAAAGGACTTCTTTGCAGAGTGCATAGTTAAACCGTGGAATTTGTCCCCATAACATGTAGTGCCGGTCACCAATAGGGATGGCATTAAAAGAGGATTAGACAAATTCATGGAGACTAAGCCTGTCAATGGCTACTAGTTATGATGGCCATGTTTTCCCTCTGCTGTTGGAGGCACTATGCCTTTGGATCACAGTTCATCATAAGATCATAGGACAGAAGAGCTGGAAGGGACCACAAGGGTCATCTAAGTCCAACCCCCTGCAATACAGAAGAAGAAGAAGAAGAAGAAGAAGAAGAAGAAGAGGAGGAGGAGGAGGAGGAGGAGGAGTTTGGATTTGATATCCTGCCTTTCACTCCCCTTCAGGAGTCTCAAAGCAGCTAACATTCTCCTTTCCCTTCCTCCCCCACAACAAACACTCTGTGAGGTGAGTGGGGCTGAGAGACTTCAAAGAAGTGTGACTGGCCCAAGGTCACCCAGCAGCTGCATGTGGAGGAGCGGAGACGCGAACCCAGTTCCCCAGATTACGAGACTACCACTCTTAACCACTACACCACACTGGCTCTCCAGGAATCTTTTGCCCAACATGGGGCTTGAACCCATGACCCTGAGATTAAGAGCTTCATGTTCTATTGACTGAGCTATTCCAGCAGCTAGGAATAATGTGTGAAGAAAGAGCTGTTGCACTCAGGTCCTGTTTGTAGGCTTCCCATAAGCATCTGGGATGGCCACTGTGAGAACAGAAATGCTGGACTAGACGGTCCTTTGGTCTGATTCATCAGGGCTCTTCTTATGTCATCACACATGAGGGGAAGAGAGGATAGGGCATGTTTTATAAACGGTTCCTGAATTACAACTGGCACATCCCTAGTGATACTGCTGGAAAGGAAGTTTTGAACCTTCCCCATTTTCTTTTTAGAACATTTTTCAGTCCCACAATGAAAGATGCAAGCTGAAAAGGAGAACAACAAAATATGTCTTCAGTTAAGATTTTATGAGCATCCAGAGCCCCAGAACTTGTTGATATCATATCATTCAACCTCACATCTGTTCCAAGTGCTGCAATAATACCACAAAGGGCTCATTCATGCCATCTGACCACACTGCAGCGTATCCCTGAGATGTGTATCAAGGGGCTGCCAGCTGGCAGAGAAAAGCTGTGGAGGGCAGGGGGAGAGTGGCAATGCTGTGCTTTAATCCAGAACTGGAGTTCAGATGGAATGGATGAGTTGAGAGAAAAGTCTGCAGAGGTTGTTTTCTTTCTCTCCTGTAAGTGGAAAAGTATTTTCTTTCCTATTTTTGTCTTCAATTCCCAATGCATACAAAGCCAACTTGATCACCGAGTTCACAAACAGAGGTTCTCAACTGGAGTGGAAAGAACAAAAATAGAAATGTTAATTTTTTAAAAGATACACTTTCTATCTTGGAGACTCTTGCAGAATTGTATAAAATATAAATCACGAAGTAGAATGCTGTCAAGTGATTGCTTTCCCCTCTCAACAGGAAAAGATGAGTGCTTCAGGCAGGTACGAATGATTAGGAACTCAAAAGAATTTGCTGAGCACACAGACCAAGTCAACCAAAACAGTCCCTAATTGTTATATGAGGCTGGCTGTTTCCTTGAAGAAAGATGGTGATTGACTTGTTTACATAAGCAGGTCAATGCTCACCTTGCTCCAGGAAAACAAGAAGTCTTGTGTAATAATGATGAATGATCCATCTTAACAAAACCATCAATTAGTACTGGAACATTAGTTGCACTTTGCAAAGGTAGCTATGCAACAGTTAAAAACATGACCATATACACTGTCACCAAGCCATGGTCTAAACCACTGAGCCTCTTGGGTTTGCCGATTAGAAGGTTAGCAGTTCGAATCCCTGCAACGAGGTGAGCTCCCGTTGCTTTGTCCCAGCTCCTGCCAACCTAGCAGGTCAAAAGCATGCCAGTGCAAGTAGATAAACAGGTACCACTGCGGCAGGAAGGTAAACGGCGTTTCTCTGCGCTCTGGTTTCCATCACGGTGTCCCATTGCACCAAAAGCAGTTTGGTCATGTGGGCCACATGCCCCAGAAATCTGTCTGTTACAAACACTGGCTCCCTCGGCCTGAAAGCGAGATGAGTGCCACAAACCTATAGTTGCCTTTGACTGGACTTAACCGTCCAGGGGTCCTTTACCTTTTTTACCTATACCTGAAAGCGTCATGTCTGACAACAGGCCACAGTTTACTGGATGTGACTCTATAAACAATTGTTCCAGCAAGAAGCTGTAGCTGATGGGACTTGTAGTCCAAAATATCTGAATGGTACCAGTTTGGCAGATCCTGTATTAGTGTTATAATTCTCTTGCTTCTTCAGGTGTTCATCTTTTCTGTTGTACTACTTCTCATTTCCACTTCTTTGACGGGGCTTGCATTTCTTGTATAAGTTATACCAGCCAGTCCCCTTGCACTTCTCATGAGGCAAAATGACGAAGAAGACTAGCATGATCCATGGAACCAGATGGAGGAAAAGCCAGTTGCAGGGCAGGAAACATTTGGACCAGGTACCAGGAAGTTTCCTGCAGAAAGTCTGCAGTAGGAAGGGCAGCACATTCCACCAGGAAGTTGAAGAGGAAGAAACTCTTATCACAGTGGTGGGAAAACTCTGGTCTGTAGGCATTATTTGGTCCATGGGGTCATTTCCCCACAAGCCATGATCACTATACCTCTACCTGCTATAAAGGTAAAGATGTGGCTCCCTGCCAAAAGTAGGGTTTCTAAGACCCACCAATCAGTGTGAGCCATGGTGAATGACAGATGGGCAAGCCTATCTGTCGAAACAGCCAACAGGCTTTGGGGGAGGTTAGATTCCAACCCAATCCAATTCCCCATCCCTGGCTTATCAGGACAAATTGAAGCAAACAGGCAGCATCAAGCAGCAGGTTCAGGTAAGGGACCTTTCAATTGCTCCCACATGTGATTACTGTAAGGTATGGAAATGTGGTGGTCCACAGAGAAATGAATGTTGATTTTCAGTATAATAAAGTTTGAGAGCCACTGGCATAAAGCAGGATGTGATCTCTTCCCGCTGTCATTCTTGACTCAAAGCAAAATCTAGTCTCCACTCTACCTCCTGCTTTATAGCAGGTGAGTGCTATATTTTAGGGAACAACTGCTTTTCTTCTCCTGTCGTGAGATTGCTCTGCTGTTTCTGATGAACAATGAGAGAGTTGTGCAGAAGACGGTGCTAGTAGAAGAAACTCTCTAAGGAGCCCAGTGTAAATAAGATTCGGTGGAAAGCAGTTGGCTGAAAGGCTGAGCAACAGATCTGAATGTTCCCAGTCCAAATATTGCCTCTGGTATGAACTCAACAGATGGCTTTAGGCAAGATACTTTCTCTCAGCTTCAGCCCTTTATATCATCAACATGGGGATAATAATACTTACCTTGCAGGGTTGTTACAGGGATATCTGTGACAATGCAGCTGAAATGTTTTGAGCACCCTAAAGTGGGGCAGGTAACGATTTGGCTTTCTACCCAAAGTGGGGTTCGCAATCAACTGATCACCAGCCCTGTGCCTTTGTGCATGTGGTTCAATTTCCAGCTGCACATGTAAAGAAAAACACATCACCTGTCAAAATGGTCCATGGGGGTTGGGTAACCTAAGGATCCAGCCCCTTGGCTGCAAAAAGTTATCCACCTTTTCCTCTGCTGCTATCCTATGTTGTCCCTTCCAATCTCTTGCATTTCCCCTCCATTTTTAAATAGTCAATGTTCTGCACTGTGCTGTTGTTTCAGCACCATTTTCTGTGAAGGGGTTCTTTTTTTCTATAAGGTGATCCCAGCCAATCAGAAAATCACATAGTGAACAGGATGATGTCATTGACTCACACAGCCTATCCGACAGATGTGAGTGAGGGCAGATGAAGCTGCATTTCATGTACCTCTTCTTTCAGCCCCATTTTGGGTCCTGAGAGGAAGAGCAATGGGCAGATTCCTCCATCTGTACTTCAGCAAGAAAGACACAGCACTAATGACCACCAACTTGGATGGCACTGAAAGAGGATACAACAGATTCGTGGAGAATAAAGCTATCAGTGGCTACTAGCCATCAATGCTAATTCTCTGCTTCCAGGGTCAGAGCCAGCAATGCTTCTGAATACCAGTTGCTGGAAGCCAAAAGAGTGTTCTTGTCCTCAGGTGCTGCTTGTCAGGAGCTCGGCCTACACTCCAGTAGGATTCTGGCAGAGACACATGCCCGACTGGCATGTTCCCTCCCTCCTGGTCGATCGTTCAGGAGCTTCATAGGCTTTCTTCACCGGCACACTTAGGGATCCGCAGAGTTTGCGCAACTTGCGTGACAGACCTCAGCAACTCAGCATTTTGGCTAATCTACTTTATTTACATATAAACACACACGGAGCACTGCAACATGGCTCCCTCTCTCTAGCATCAGACAGCAAAGAGAAAAAGAACAAAGGACAACAGTCCCACTTCACGGAACACAGTAACACAAACATCCTGTCTCCGTCACTTCCCACTCTGTGGAGTCAAAACATATACCGTCATGTGATAGACAAAAATCCCATGACTGCAATCATGGAGCAGGAATTCTAACACTGCTTGTGGGCTTCCCACAGGCATCTGGTTGGCAAGTGTGGGAACAGGATGCTGAACTAGATGGGCCATTGGCCTGATCCAGCTCTTCTGATGCTTTTATGTTCTTACGAGCTCAAACTGTTTGCCCAATCAGCCCAGCATTGTCTTCTCTGACCAGCAGTTCATTCAGATGGAGCTGTAACACACTCCTTGTTTACTTACTGCGCAGCTTGCGAGTCCTTCCCCAAGTTAAATAAAACAAACATTCAATTATGGGTTACAAAAGGTGTTGGCTATGTTCTACCTCCACTGTCAGAGGTGGTAATCTCAAAGTACCACTTGCTGGGCATTGCAGTTGGGCAGAGTACTGTTGCACTCAAGGTCTGTTGCACTATTTTCAAAAAGGGGAAAAGAGAGGACCCAAATAATTACCGCCCAGTCAGTCTGACATCAATACCAGGGAAGATTCTGGAGCAGATCATTAAGCAAACAGTCTGTGAGCACCTAGAAAGGAATGCTGTGATCACCAATAGTCAGCATGGATTTCTGAAAAATAAGTCATGTCAGACTAACCTGATCTCGCTTTTTGACAGAATTACAAGCCTGGTAGATGAAGGGAACGCAGTGGATGTAGCCTACCTTGATTTCAGCAAGGCATTTGACAAGGTGCCCCATGATATTCTTGTAAAGAAGCTGGTAAAATGCGGTCTTGACTATGCTACCACTCAGTGGATTTGTAACTGGCTGACTGACCGAACCCAAAGGGTGCTCATCAATGGTTCCTCTTCATCCTGGAGAAGAGTGACTAGTGGGGTGCCACAGGGTTCTGTCTTGGGCCCGGTCTTATTCAACATCTTTATCAACGACTTGGATGATGGACTCAAGGGCATCCTGATCAAATTTGCAGATGACACCAAATTGGGAGGGGTGGCTAACACCCCAGAGGACAGGATCACACTTCAAAACGACCTTGACAGATTAGAGAACTGGGCCAAAACAAACAAGATGAATTTTAACAGGGAGAAATGTAAAGTATTGCACTTGGGCAAAAAAAATGAGAGGCACAAATACAAG